TGTTGTTTATGCTTGCTTATGCATGAGTTTCAAAACTAGTCATTTGTACCACTCTTCACGATAGATAAACAAATTCAGACCATACAAACATAATTTTGCATCGTTTTATAGCAACTATCCTACAATCGATTTTGAGTATGGACAATCTTTGCTAAGCCTTTTTATTAGCTTACTTAACAAACAATGTCGTTGGAATGGTAACAATTCGTGTATCTCCTTATACTGTTATGACCACTAGAGCACATGGCACTCTAGCCGAAATGTTGATTGCTCAAGTATCATTCGATGATTCATCCTCCTCCCCATATATGTATGCACTCAAATCGTATTATCAGCTTTTGTTTTGCTTTGCAGTGCCTTTATTAAATTTGATTATAAATTGCCTATGTAATTGCTTACTCGCTTGATGCTCACTGCTCGCTGATATTTACTCATGTGCTAGTAATTTTCTGGCCTGCGTCATTTGACAATAAACTGTATTTGCCGCTTCTCTTTGCCTTCTAATTTTATGCACCGTTAAGTTTGGTATTATAACGGTTATCGAGGTGATCGATTAACGATGTATGGCACTACAGTTTAAAGAATGTTAGTTTTATCTTATTCAAAATATTTTTCACACATGTCAGTGTGCTTATGCCATCTTTGATTGTATAACTCAGAAATACTTGTTTTCGTCAATATTTCATCAACATGTAGAATTCTTTGTTAATAATCATTTAAATAGGCATCATTAACAAGTTTTGATTTGATAATTTTGAATAAATTGAGCATTGGGTAGATTGTTATAAATAAATAAATAAATATATTTGTAATATCCCAATGATCAGGAAAATTAGATTTTCTGACGTTTCGTGATTCAGTGTAAGCCACTTCTTCAGAGAATAAATAACCAAATTAACATTAGAAAGGGTTTTTGTGGATATTTCAGTATGCGCACTGCTGAGGAGTCCCATAATAGGACGAAACGACCGTCCAGTGCTTCCAGGTTTTTCATGGTGGTCTAGCTTCAATTGACTCATGATTTCAACTATGAAAATTAACATTAATCCAAGTTTAAATAGTACAACGGAACAATACGAATATTAGGTGCGATCAATCAAAAACTAACTCCGCCTGTGGGAAGCAGTGACCAATGGAGTTCTACCAAGTCTGTTGTAGAGATATCATCTCTCTGAAGACAATTGGTGAACGGTTGCTCAAAATTGTGGATTGGTTGAAGTTAGACATTAACACCGTTGGATGCCGGCTCAGAGGTCCATCGGTTAAGTGCTCTGGCGCGAGACTGATAGGTTATGGGTTCGAATCTCGTGAGAGCGGGTTCGTGGATGCGCATTGCTGAGGAGTCCCATAATAGGACGAAACGACCATCCAGTGCTTCCAGGTTTTCCATGGTGGTCTAGCTTCAATTGACTCATGATTTCAACTATGATAATGTCAATTTGGTTATTTATTCCCTGAAGAAGTGGCTTACACTGAGTCACGAAACGTCAGAAAATCTAATTTTCCTGCTCATTGGGATATTACAAATATATTACTTAATCATTTAAATAGAATTCATATTCACTTTCGAATATTTTATTCGGTTATAAACTTTAAATAGGATTCCAACTGAGTATTGAATGAATCAGTTCCTACTATCACTGATATATTATTTTTATCATTATTATTACTATTACTATAATTATCAGTAATAGTATTAGTAGTAGTAGTAGTGCTATAGATTTAATACATTTATTTAAACAACCATCTGAATTGAAAGAGTAGCACAGTTACACAAATTTCCCCCCTTCATTTTAATTAATTAAATTTCATTATTTTACAATAAGCTTTACATAATGAAATGGGAACAAATACCAGACAATAAGTTGGAATGAAATGAGAGTTTTAATTTAATTCTCTTGTGAATCCATATTATTATTATTATTATTATTATTATTATTATTATTATTATTATTATTATTATTATTATTATTATTATTATTATTATTATTGGATAATTCATGCTGTGTTCAATAGTTCAATGTCTCATTGTACTAATTTCATTTTGTTTTCCCTCTTTATAAAATAGATGACCTTTTTATATTTCTCAAGGTTAAATTATCATAATGACTAAAACATATGAAATAATAATATATTTGAGATCATGATTCAATTGAAGGTAGACTACCATGGAAAACCTGGAAGCACTGGAAGGCCGTTTCGTTCTATTGTGGGACTTTTCGGCAGTGCTCACTCACGATCCCGCCTCACAAGATTCAAACCCATGACCTATCAGTCTCGCGCTGGAACGCTTAACCTGTAGACCACTGAGACGCGCACAAGTGAGGACTAAGACGAAAAAGATATTCGATTCTCATAGGTTTTGAGTGGTTTTCTAGCCTAGGTTGGCTCGTGATCTCAATGACACTCAACAATCTCTGAGACCCCATTACTGGTAATACAAGGTGGACAAGAGAATCTTTAGGATCATTCACTGGAAATATATTTCTTTCTTAGAATAAGTGGAATTTTTATGATAAAGGTTGTTTTCAAAGACAAAGTGATATCAACTGAAAGATCGTTGTACCTCAAGTGGTGACATAACGCGCCACAGAAATGCATCATCCTAGTCTTCAGATTTAGGATTGGAAAGTGAAAACTCAACACTATACATATTGAGAATTTTGTCGATTTGGAAAATAACAGAATTCATTGTCATATTAAAAAGCTGTGATTTAGGGATTTAATCAAACTGGAAACAACTCAGTGATTAATTATGGGAATTGAATAAGAACCAGTCTATTTATCCGTCATAAAAATCACCAACAGATTAAATGAAATCTTAATGAAACCATCCGAATTAATGTTGGATGGTCGAAGATAGTCGACAGGAAGCTTTGGATCTATATTTTACTCTATCTGCAATGTCGAGAGGACTGATGCTCCATGTAGGATTAAAACATTCATCACTTAGTTTCGTAGTCTGTGAAATTGCCATAGAAGTATTCAGTCAGAGATTTGTATTCCTTAATACTGATGTATTTGCATTTGCTGATCACTGGATCCTGATCGAACTCCAGGTTCAGGGTTTCTTACCGACCACATTCCAGCATCCAACATAACAAAATTGTACATACGATGTCAAGTTACTCAAACTGGAATGAACAGTGCAACTTGGTCGATAGAATTTGATCAACACTGAGGACAGAACAAGCATGACATTATTCAATATTAATTGATCAACTAATATAAATTATTCTATCTTTGGGTTGTGTATGAGAATGCAATTTACTGTTTGTAGAAAATTACAATCTTACATTAAAAGACGACAGACGTAAAACACCACAAATTTACCCTTTTCCGTGTCTAGTGACATTTCTTACAGCTGATCTACGCCTCCATAGGTTAAATGCCGAACTTGCTTTATTTAAACAACCATTGGATATCATGAAGCACAGAATAATCATTTTCTACCAGGATGGGACTCTTTGACAGTGTTCACCCATGACTTCTCAGGGGATCAAACTGTTAGTTATGTCCATAACTAACCAACCAAATTGTTGCTTAAGCGCCCACCACGTCATTCTGCTCTGATGTGTGTGTAGATTATCCCTGTCTCATGTGATCTGTCGATTGAAGGACACTATTATCCTACTATATTAGTATGACTCATAATTTTCGTTCATTTCTATAAAACACGCAATACTGGTCGGTATGTTCGTGCATTCCACTTAATGACTGTAATTCCTTTAATTATTATACTAATCAAATTGTTATTTTTACGTTTAGAAACAGATAAAGTTTAAAGCGAGTTATCTTTGTTCTGACTATAGCTTTTACATTTACTCTGGGGTCGCCAGCATCGCGTTTACAGTTCTAGTAGAATTGTGGCGTGTGCTACTGATGTCGACAGATATAAGTAGTATGTATCATCGATCGAAAGTGAAATGTCTGGTGGCAGAATGTTATGGAGATCGAAGAAAAGAGAACGACAACAGAGAGTTATTGGTATGGAAACAAAGGAACAGTCATGTCTGAGGCAATTGATTGACATTTTGCAAATGAATAATTTATTATTTGGGTCTCAGATTTTACTAAGACATTCCGTAATTTTATGTCCAGATACATTTGATTGTATCCATTTGTGCTATCGTTCACTACAGGTTATCTGTACGACAAATTAAATCCTACACAGACTAAAGGCCTCTAAATCTCTCGACAAGTATTTAACTGTTTGACCAATGAGTCACTGTACAATGGTTTACATTTCTAGCTTCAATTAATTCATGATATTGCACAACTATCGTCTAATGTCATTAGTAAACAATAATTGCCTTACTCCTAACATGACTGAACTCCATTGCTTAGGGGCTTCTCATTAGAATTTCTAAATTTACTTTTCTAAAATAATTCACTAGTGAGTTATGATCTATAATTATTACCAAATTGTTACCCAATGATTACAACAACATCAACTCTAAGATGTAGTACATCCAGTCGACTAGTCCCAAATAGGACGAAACGCGCCTTGTCCTGGATCCCACTGCTAGCCACTATCCATCTTTGCTTATAAAGCTTTTGACTTCAGGCAATATTGAGGCAGTCCGTTTAGGATGTACATATACCAATAAGAGACTGATCAACTGCAGTTTTAAATAACAATGGGAGGATACAAGTAAACAACACCAAATGAATTTAATAAATGGATTAGTTTAATACAGTTAGAAAAATCATCATTATAAACTAAGAGTAGAAAAAAGATTTAAAACCCGAATAAAATCATCCAATCAGATTAAAGAATTTTTTTTTAAAAAAAAGGATGAGACAGTTAAAAAGAGTGGTGTTCGGGGGTAGGGGGGGGGTTTGTAACTTATTTTTGTGGATAAATTCATTTATATAAAAGCTAAGTATATATCATATATGAATCATAAATTTTATAATGGACTTACTATATTGAACTTAAATTCTAAGGGTCATAGAGTATTTTACTTACATTGAATTAAAAACGGGTTAAATTTTCAGAAACCGCCGTTTTGTTTTTTGTAAAAGAAAAATGTAAGTTATACTTGAATGTGTTTTTGTTGGGGGGGTGGGTAAGATCCGTTTTTATTTATGTTAAATAGAATGTTTAATATGTAGTGTCGGTTAATATGTTAAGCCCATATACCTTATTCTAGCTTTCTGAACAAGCCAATTTACCCTATACATCTTGAGTAACGTTTTCATCTTTTTATTAAGCGTATGTGTGTGTACACTTTTTATCTTATTCACCACATGGTTGTAATTTATTTTTATCTGACTATAAATATCGATTAACTCTTGGTTAGAGTGAATTGGCTTACCCACCATCTCCAATGTGTGTCATTTTCCCTTCTCTCACTTCTGTTCGCTTCATCCCTCTGATTTCCTGTCTAGATCAATGAGTGTATACAAAATATATGTACTCAAAATCGATTCTCGTATTTGACTTATTTAACTGCTGAGGAGTCCCATAATAGGACGAAACGGCCGTCCAGTGCTTCCAGGTTTTCTATGGTGGTCTAGCTTCAATTGACTCACGATCTCAACTCTATAACTTATTTAACTCCGTTATTCATCAACGCGGATTAAGTTATGTATTACATACGAGGATAGACAGGATGTATATTTTGACAATCAACCATTCATACGATCTCATTGGAGTCAGATCCTAACTCACTACAAACATGGTGAGTCACATTCGGAACATGCACCATTTCTCTAAAAATATGTTCAATTGTTTGAAAACTTTGTTTTCTAATATTAAACTTTGTATATTCAGATGGATAATGAACAGAAAATATTCTTCTCGGTAAATTCTTATCAAGTTCTAAATAGTTGAAAGTTTAAATTATTCAGCTTGTTGATTAATCATACGATGTAAGATCTGAGGGTGTTGGGTTCAACTCCTGGTAGGGTCACATGTTTTTGTACTACTGAAGATTCATATACCAGGATAAAATTGTAGTTTAATGCTTCGTGGTTTTCAATATTATCCTAAATGAAATTAATCTTTAACAAATGATAAATACTTTACTTTAAATCATGATTCTTAAGATAGAATAGTCAATCTGAAGACGTTAATCTTCCATGTGAATGACAAGTAAGCAAATAAACATGTTCTACACACAAACAACTCTTTCTGCTTCAGTTTTTTGTCGAATGGAACCCAAATAGTATTTCAAATTAAAGTTGATACTTGATTAACCAATGAAACCTTAACTCTCAATCAGTTTAGCATCCAAGCATTACAGTGAAGCATTTTTAATTCAATTCAGGGATTTTGTTAACTTCAATCACCAGTCTTTAACATCAACAAATTTTACCGATCTGGATTGTAAACTTTTTCATTATGTTTTTGCATTCTCATAACAAATTGAACCAGATAGTGATTTTTTGTAGAATAGAATTTTTTGTAAATATTTACATAAACTCATCCGTACATGAGTAGTTCACTCTTTTAAACTACGTAGAAAATTACCTGTACGTAGATTTGTGGGGATTGTAATATTTTCAAAGTTGAGTTCATGAATTGATCTTAACTAGATCATCATTAACAACCCGAAAGCACTGAATGAACGTTTCGTTCTAATGTGGGACTCTTCAGTAGTGTATATCCATAACCCCGTACGCGGGACTCGAACTCAGGGCCTGTCTCGCGCGCGAATACTCAGTCTATAGACCACTGAGCCGGCATCCAACGGTGTTAATGTCTAACTCTGATCGATTCATGGTCTTGCGCAACACTTCATCCAATGTCTGAGGTGAATAACTGTCTCACACTCCACACAAGCTGGACGCCACTGGTCAAAGCTTCTCACTAGAACCCCAAGAAATTCATCTTAAAGCTAGTCACTAGTGAGTATATCATTGTTATTAATAGAAAACTGTGTAGAGAATTATTTTGCATACAGGGTTAAATTTTTTGAGAGATTGCTAACGAAATCACTGTATAAAACTATGGGTAGAGGGTAATAGATAACTATTTCAGTCCTGTATATAACTCTTCCATAGTTCGTACTCACAATCAATGATTAATGGATCCAAATAACTGCTTAGTTAAAAACCAATCATTAAAGTAAGCAATCTTTAAAATGAACAATCTTCACAACCCTTTTATTCTGATATTAATTACCTTTGATTGGAATATTGAATAAATTAAACACATTTACTGTTTCCTCTATCCCCAGCCCAATAAACTGTATTCACCGTAGATTTATTTTGTGTGAAGGAATTTAAATATGTTTTACAAATCAATTGAAGAATATAATATTCAATTGAAATGTCAATATTCAGTAAGCAGATTAAAAAGATTAAAAGCCAATCGACGAGAACGTGCTAGAATGCATGCATTGAATAATGCATTAGAACAGCTTAGAATTATTTTACCTCATTCTTCTTGTGAATCAATAAAACTTAGTAAAATTGAAACATTAAGGGTAAGTCGAAAATTTATTTTAATCACTGAAATACTTACTATTCTGTTTTATTATAAATGCGCAAGCAAAAATGAATGATGGCTAGAAGTGAAATTCAGAACGCTCATTTTGTCTGATCTTAGGACTCGTCAGCTGCATGTGCCTGTAACCCAGAGTTGATGTTCACTCTACAACTTGAATCCAGTACCATTCGCTTCAAACGCTTCCACTTATCTGCCGAGTCCCGATAGCCCCTGACTTGTTGGATTGTTAACAACATTCATGAAAGTATCTAAAAGTCATACATTCCTCCTGCCTCGTGATAGCTAACGCCGTGTAAATAGACAGTTTACTATATCATAGTACTTCATAAATAATTGAAATCGGAATCTGACAAGCAGTTATTACAACAAACTTCACAAACTCAATGTAGATGGCATTTCTGGCTCTATATCACCATTGCAATTTTCACAGTACTGACTAAAATGCTTAGTTTAATTAAAATTAAGGCTATCTTCACTGATAAGTTATCTTTAAAAGAACAATTCTCAATAATTCATGAATACGTTGGGAGTTATTTTAAAGTTTCATCGAAATGATAAGTAGTACAGTTCGCATATAATATTAGGCTAACCATGTATATCTCATCTAACATTGATGTCAAATAATTAGAAATTCCTAAATAGTGGCGGTAGGAAAAAACTTATAATAGTTTTAATGATGAAATGAAACCAAATAAATAGTATTTATTGAAAGACTGTGTTATAACTTGTAGCCAAGTGGATGCCCTTGTTAAAGTATGACGTGATAAGACTGCCAATCAGAGAGCAGCGAATTGTCGATTGGAACAGTGACACACGGAAACCGTACGAGCAGTCTAGATTACTTATCGGTCCTGCTTCTGCTTAGCCCGGCTAGTTGAGTCCAGAACAGCCTCTGCGGTATGAATCGTTGTATTTCAAACATACTGAGTTTATATACTAATCAAACTGACCACATCGCACCATAAAATAGAAAATAACATGTGTACAAGATTTAACCAAATGTGGCTGTGAATAAGGGGAACAGTAATCAATAGACTGGGTGTAATCCATGAATGGTAAATCATATAACAATAGTTTATAGTTCGAAATAAAGCTCATGATAAGGGGAACATGAATATGAATAGTTTAGTTATTTAGCGATTATACGATAAAAAATATATGCATAATATTGGTCCATAAATGGATCCCAAAGTTACTATTCACTATTGTTATCGGAACATAACAGAATGATTAACGCATCAGTATTCTTAATTAAAAATGCATATTTTTAAAGGAAGATGTTTTTAAGGATAATTGAAGACATTATACGTTACAGGCTGATTTTAGTTAAGAAACCGCTGAAAATCAGGGGTTACTGGAGAATTTTTTGTTTGGTGTACGATTGTTCAGCCATATGCACCCATAACCCTAAGAAGACTCGAACCTACAGTGTTTAGGCAATGTAACAAATGCTACTTATCACTTGTCAGCAAGATGAAGATACGATTAAAAGGGGACTAACGCTAACTGTAGAATCGAACCAGAGGCATCCGCCTTCACATTTTGAGATGAAATGTTAAGTGACTTAGGCTAGTGGGTTTATTGCAACTTGATCTATAGAATTTCACCAGCACTTTAAAACTAGACCCAGAGATTAACGAATTGTATATTGCCTTGTTTATGGATAACTGAGGGTATGAATGTCTAAATGAAATTTTCGTTGATTTGTAATAACAAGCCAAAGAATTCTATTAAAATATGATTTAAGGTACAGTCTAAATTCAGTTTGCTGATACCTGTTAATTTCCATTTATACGGTTTATTTTGGACGGACTGATCTCATTTGCGATGCCACTAAAAACAAACAGGTCCTGAACACCTTTTTCGTCCTAGCATTTGACTTCTCACTAACATTGGTTTCTACTACTATCTGAACTAAAATAAATTTGTGGTAAATACAACTCATATATTTGGAAATAAATCGCTACAACCCCCCTCCTCCCCAAATAAACGATCTTAATCATTTAATTTCTTTTCAGCGTGCACGTGATTACATCATATCCCTAATTGATTTATTAAATAAATCTCCACATTCAAATCAATCAATCAATCAACCAATTATAATTCAATAATTCAACAAGAATCCCGGTGAAATGTAAACAGTATTATTTAAACTTTCCACGGATACAGATCACTATCATCATTCAACAGTTACTACTATGTTGTCCAGATAACTACTACTTTAATAATAATACTAATGTAGTGTTGACCGGATAACCTTTTTAATTGTCAATTGTCATGTTGGTTGGAGATTATTTCATCACCGAAATTCGGTTTTTTTTCTCCTTTCTTTTTGTGATGATGATTGTACAAAAAATCAATGAATGATTTTTGTAAATATTATAATAACAATCTATTGAATGTAACTACTGTTGAATGTTAAATTGCTTTTTGTTTTGTTTTATCGGTTAGGTGAATATTTGAAAAGATTTTGTATCATGATTATCAATAAATAATATGATGAGACTATCATTTATGGACGACCTTCAGACGACACTTAAATGACCTTGAAAGTCTTCACCTAATAACTAGAACCAAATGAAGATTATAAACAAGTGTGAAGAATTAAGAATTATAATTTACAATTGATAGTTAAGGTTAGGAATTAGATTTAGAGTTTTCATTACGAATAGACACTACCTATAATGTCAAAAATCTATTTAATCAAATAGATGAGTGAATTTCGTGCCAAAATCCGAGATCTGTTATCTTATACATGATTGATTCGTTCATAAATTATGGTCTCGACAATAATATCACTGTAATATTCATTGAATATAGACGTGATGATTTATTTTTTATGTGTTACTCCCTGGCCTATTTCATTCAAAAAAGCATTGATAATGCTATCTAGAGAGATAGTGTGTAAGTATCCCAATCAAATCATCTACTTCAAATAATTTACCATGATAAGGTATGTTAATGATTAGGCTTGAGAGTAAATAAATTATATAATCACTTACATTATGTTAATTATGTTTACTTATTTTTTCTATTTAAAATGCTTTTCTGTATCTTATAACTCTCTATACAGTATTTATAGTGTTATCCATTTCCTGTTAAGTACACAATAAATATTTAGATTTAATGATGCAACATATAGTCTGTTTTCTAATGTTTATTTTTCTGTGACTACTCAATAATACAAATCTTAACTCCATTTTGAAGAATTGGATATTAGGAGAGATAGTTTACAGAGTTGATATTCATTATTAACTGAATCTGTCTCTATATTCACAATAGCAATTATTCAAAGTCAATAATCATATATTTTTGTCAATTCCTTCTAGAAAGAACAAAGCCAGTCTACACGTGATCTTCATAATTTAAATCAGGGAGCACTAAGGAGTTGTTTCATTCTAGCGTAGAACTACTCATCAGTCTACATCCACGATCAAACTATAGGGAATCGAGCCTTGCCATGAACTCTTGACCTTTAGACCATTGGACCAACATCTGATTATACACATGTTTTATTTTAATTAATTCACGATATTTCACCACCGCTTCGCATTGATAAGTGTCCAACACTGAAATAGTTGAACGGAAATGGTCACGGCTTACCAGAAGAACTCTAGGAATACTATTTTGATGCTAAACACTAGTTAGCAGATGAAGTTTGACATGTACACTATCAGATTCCAGCTTAGTGGTCTAGAAGTTAGGCATTCACTCCAAGATCAATGGCTCTAGGTTCGATCCCCTATGATGAATGTTCATTGCTGAGGAGTATTATACTGGCCCCCAAATGCCCTGGTACGGCCGAGAGTGGGGAGAGTCCTCTCTCCCTCTCCAAATGCTCTCACATGGCCAGGCGTACATAGCCACTGTCAGGGAAGTCCTACTCACTGCCTTCTCACACCAGGGGTGTTGTTTACGAAATTGAGAGGACAAAAAGCGAATATCCGGCGCTTTAACCTGGTTGGTGAACACGAAAAGTCCACCTAGGGGAGTTGGAAACCCCTGATTCCAATCCAATAGTGTACATGGGCTCCAATATCCTGAGGGAACAAATGACGTATGAATCAATCGTTGGTTACCGGCTACCATGGGACTGCATCTCCTTACGATGCTCCATTACCTTGTGGATCATATCTTAAGGGAGAAGGCTCCAGATGTGGCCCCCTAAGAAAACCACTTGCTTCAGTTTGAGCACTCGGGCAGTATCGTCGCCCTCACATAAATCAAATGAGATTTGTGTGGGTCATATGTATCTGGTGCTCCTTTGTACCAATATTTCTGTGTTTAAATAAATAAATAAAAATAAGTATTATACTGTGCTGTACTTCCTGATTATCAGTGATACGCTAGCTAAGATTACTTTGTCATTTTAACCATGAAAATTCTACAGTCTCCACAAAATGCCATACTGATAACACGTGATCAATAATAATTCTTACTAAAATCTTTCAATAAAGTCTACTTGACAGAAATCATAAAACTTCACTTCAACTCATCCATTTCTTTATTAATTATATCAATCAATCCTGTTATATAATTAAGAATTCAATTATAAATACTTGACTTTACTTTTAATCCATAAGATTAAAAAGATGTTTTTTGTTTTTTTACTGGCAATATTCAAAATGAACTGATCAAATAAAGAAGGGAGAAGTAATCACTTTAGACATGCAATAAATAGTGATTACGTAATCATAAGATATTATTATTATTATTACTATCCCTATTTAATGTTTATAATGTTAGTATACAATGAAGAGAAATAGATAAACACGTGTAGTTACATGACATGTGTACATTAAAATGGATGTATGATTCTCTGTTTTCTTTCTATCACTTTCTGACTATCTCCCCCTTATTCATTCACAATGGAACCCCTTCCTTTCAGTACACGTGAATGACCATAATAAGTTTTTTTTTCTAAAAAAATATTCATTAAGGTTGACTTATTTGGTCCAAGATGTCATTTTATTATTCTCTTCAATGAACTTAAAAATATTATGACATGATAAAAATATCTTTGTCAAACCAATGATGATGTAACCAGAAAAACAAAACAAAAGAACAACATCATTAAAATCTATTTTGTTATCTCAAAAATTTATTCTTCCGTAAAGAAATGAATAAATTTATGATTCTATTGAAGGAAAAATTTCCGTTTATTGTATATATTTAAGGGATGTAGACTATCAACGTTGATGATCTTGTAGTGACCGGCCAGTCTCGATAAGAACACGATTGGAATAACAGAAACAATTATAATTATTATTGTAACCAATTGTACCAGAGATTGTATTACTGTATTTGTTTAACTGTATCAGATTCAATTCTTGTTTCGCTATCCGCTTTGTTTGGTTCGAACTTGCTCACGCACTGCTCATTTCACCTGTATCCTTTGGCACGTCACAGTATTATTTCGATACCACGAGATCGCCAATAAATAGACTTGATCTGGATTAATAAAGCCTTCTGATTTACGAGCTATAAAAGGAACCAAGTCGTTTTTGGGCGCGTAATCGAATTGTAGTAGTGATCATAGTCTGTCCTCGACTCGACATCCACTACAATCTATGTCGAATGATTGGAGGCGTAGTCGAGTAAGACGGGAACGGTGTAACGAACAAGCTAACTTCGAAGTCACACCTCGCGACCAGCGCCTTACATAGATTGCCCCATCGACGTATCAAGGGACCATGGATGCTCTGAAAACTGTATAACACAAGGGATGTTATTACAGGAATATATTAGTTAAAGTAGATACAAGCGAAGTAGAACCACTGTCGCATGGGCCAGTCCATGGCGTATGATTAACTGATGCGTGTTGATTGTCGTCGACCTTGACGAGGGATCGATGATCCGTTCGATATTCAGTGACCCAACTGCTGGATGATTTGGCTAGGGTTCAGTGACATTTTACTGGCCCTACAGGGAGATTGATGAGTAATTAGTATATTTGGTGTATATGACTAGGGGTGGAATTTGGAGAACATGTTGTGTTCTATTCAGGACCCTCCAGTGTTGTTATTCACATTAGGACTGTAATGAAGTCCTTTTTTCTTTGAATTCTAATGAGTCATCTCCTAAGTTATAGGGTGAAGATAATTCTTAACTTATTCAACGGGTTCATGTCTCAGCGTGAACATCAACACTTGATTATAGGTACATCTAACTGACGAGTTCCAAACAAGAGAGAAAATATGTTTTTGATTCCACTGTTAGATATTGTATAGCTTCAACAAAAGCTTAAGACTAAATGGGAATATTAAGACAATCCGTTCAGAATCTAGATTTACCAATAAAGATTGACTAGTTCAAGTACTTAACATCGACATTGGGAAAAGATAAACCTTCACTAACATTACAACTGAAAGTCATCAAAATATTTAACACCTGACTTTTAAAATAAAAAGTTGAAACATCCGTCCAAAAGAATAAATCAGGGGACTCTATTTCATTGTAGTCAGATGATTGCCTTGGATTCCAAGAAATCAGGTCATATTTCGAGGTTACGAATTAATTCTTCCCGGCTCCTACTGTTAATCTTAAAACTAATGAGCTTATCCTAGACAACATAAAAATGGACTCCAATACAGATCCTGGTATATATCCAGTGAATGTTAGTTGGAGACATATTACTGAGTTTAAACTCAGTAAAATTTCTGTTTAAACCGTGAAGAATCCTATGGTCGTATCGAACGATAATTGCGTAATGGTAAATAAATCCCCAAAATTAAGAACTTTGTCAGACTTTTGATATATTTGTTATCCTTTTAATTGATGATCAATGAGAAGTGAATGAAGTAAGAACTAGAATGCACTTGTTATTAATTATATAATTAAGTGATTTAATTCATTAGCAAGTACAGTAGTAATAAACAATCAAAGTATAATTGGAATAAATGGACACAAGTGAACTAGAATAATGACAATATTGGATTAAGGTCAAGATCAAATCTCTTCGTAAATGAATTGGATTTATATTGATGCTGGAACTTAGAATTAACAGCAATTGCATTACATTACACATAACACCGGTAGTAGAATATCCTACAAGTGTATTGGAGTGAAATAAACCCATGACCGAATAGGTGTCGTTTAATCTTCATTGTATTGAAAATGATTACAAACCGTCCAGAGTATCAATAAGTCAGCATATCTCAAGCATTTGTGCATCAATAAAGTAGTAAAATGTGGTGACTAGATAGATAGGTAGAGAGTTAAACGAACAAAGGGAGATTGGGAGGATTCACATGTAAGGCATTCGAATTCATCACAAAGTTGGGTAAAAGTTGACCAGAAGAATTGGATTAATTCATTTGGCAGTCACACGCTCAGTTAGATATCGTATTCCAAAATGAGCATACAATTATTCGGACTTAACATATGTAGGTTAAATGCCATATTCCTCGACACTGATGCTAACCTCAATATTTTTACTGAACTTATCTTTAGCTCAATGTTCTGGATCCACCATCAAAAACAAATCTGTGTCGATTGAGTGGACCTTTCTGAGTATCATTTATGACAACTAGTCGACTTAGGTTTGTAGAGACGGTTAGCACAGACTTATTTTGTAAACAATTTTTGCCATTATTCACGTTTTTCATAATTTCACGTAATTTGTGCAGGTACTGTTATCGACTGTAAAATTTTTGTTCAAATTTATCTAGGACTTACTCTCACCGTTTCATTCTCAATTTGCATGACCTATTTATTATCGTTCATAAACACACTACTACCCATACGCTTGTAGTGACCTACTTTTATGACGAAAACGCGATTGGTATAACGGAAACAGTTATTCTTATAACCAATTGTACCAGTGATTGTTTTACTGTACTTGTTTGTTTAACTGTACCGAAGACTTTTCCTTTCGTTTCGTGTGACCTTGCATGAACTTGCTTAAGCTCGGCAGTTCCGCCAGTAAACTTTGGCACGTCTAGGTATTCTTTCGACACCACGAGATCACCAACAAATATATCTTATTGCAATCATTAGCAGCCTTCTGGTTTTTGACCTACTGAGTTGTCCACATCCATACCCGGCACGTAATCTTCATGTAGTGATGATCATAGTCAGTCGCGACTCGACACCCATCTACACGCTCCTCGTACGTCTTTAGTCAGCCGCTCTGTTGAAAGACGTTTAATGCAACTGCTATTTACGCTTGCATGTCTTATTGGCATTTCCATCAGTGATTATTTCGGATGTGTATTATCTTGGATTATACATATAGTATTTGAAATTGTTGACTACTTAGAACTGTGGGTTACGAGACCAAAAACCAGAACAAGCTCCCTACAGCCAATTTAAGCAATGTTCCATATGTTTTATGTATTCATGTAACTATACATTTTACACAGCATTGTAGTGGCATTAGTTCTAACTACACAATTCTTAAAGCTGAACATGATATTATAGCAACCATCCTACAATCAATTTTGATTATAGCCAATTTTGGTTAAGCCCTTTTTATAACTTACTTAACAGACATCGTCATTTGGATAGTAACAATTTGCATATTCTTTGCACTGCTATACCACTAGAGCACATGACACCCTAGCCGAAATGTTGACTGCATAAATATCATTCGATGACTCATACTCCTCCCCATATATGTACGCACGCAAATATTATTATCAGCCTTTGTTTTGCTTTGCTGTGCCCTCATTAAATTTGACTATAAATTGCCTATGTAATTGCTTGCTGTTTGCTCGCTTGCTCCTCGTTCGTTTCCTTCGCTGGTTTGCCTGTTCACTCGCTCTCTCGCTTGCCGCTCACTCGCTCGTTCATATTCGCTCAGGTGTTGTTGGCTTTCAAACCTGAGTCATTCGACAATAAACTGTAGTTGCTGCTATCCTTTGTCTTCTGATTTTACGCGCCGTTAAGTTTAGAATTACAACAGTTATCGAAGTAAACGGTTAACGAATCGCGGCATTACAATATAACTGTGAAAATCCATATTCGACATTTAACTCTAAGAGCAAGTCAAAAATGGTGAACGCGGGAGGAATGGATTCGAGTCGGCATGGTTTGGCTCAGCCTTTCAGACTTGGTCACTCTGTATAACCTATTATATCTTATATTAAACATATTACTCTACACTCAGCCAAAATGTGTTCTTCCCAAGTGCTAAACATCATATTGCTGATTGTCATGTAGGACTAGTCAGTGTAGACAATGATGTGACTTCCATGTAAGATCTCATAGATGAGGTATCATGTAATGACAAATCTACGATTTGGGGATTAGGTTTATTATTATGGTAGCAAAAATAAATGTACTAGTACCGAAGTAAACCATACCTCAACAACCTCTATACTTTATGCAACAACTTTATCGCTGTCTTGGTTTTGGTGCATCCGATCCACCATAGGTTTCGTGCTCCATGTTCAAGCCTATAATCTCATCCCATGATCATTGACTTGTAGTTTGATTGGCTTTGGGACCATCATGTAACAATAGATTTCGGACAGTAGAGTTGTCGAACACTGAGTATCCATGACATGTTCAATTTCATTTAACATTGTGACATGTTTTATGCGTATAGTGCCCACACATCTGTACACGGTCATCCGTCTCTAATTATTAGCCAAAAATAGTATCGGTTTCTAAAATTATGATCCTTCAATCCGAACATATAATAACCAAAGAGACACATTAAACGCTAAACGTTTCAAGAAACGTTGAGGACGGAACACTCAGTCGAGGCTGCATGTTTTAGTCATGCAAGCGTTGTCCTCTCATTCTTTATATTAAGTATATTATTCCATCCCTAGTCTGAATATGTTCTTCAGGAAGACATCATGTAGGGTTGGTCAGTGTAGACAGTGAGGCGACTTCCGTGTGAGACCTTGTAGTTTAGCAAGTTACATCATGGTAAGTACACACTATTATATTCATTTTATCATTCTAGTAGTATGGATAAGCGCGTCAATACCGGCCTAGGCCTTGATCCTACAGTCAATCTTGAGTACTGTTAGAAGTATGAGGGTGGTTATCGCCTACCGGTTGCTCACACCATGGAAGAATTCTTCTAGAGTTACCTGAAAAGAAAACGGTGTTTAGGTTGGTTCTAGTGATCTGAGAGCGTAATCACAATGCCCAAGGGACGACTACATGAGGCTGGCCACACATGACCTTTTTGTGAATAATTTTCGTGTTAGCTCCATATTGTTAGGACCCTACAGCTGAGAACGGATATCCATAGGATAAAGCGACATGTGCATTTTTAAGACCGAAATTTTCTAGTTTCACCTTTCCTTATCGGAAGGCACCATCCCTGTTGTGCTGGTCGTCTGAAGGAAACACCTTACTACCGCCACACCTCTGTAAATTCAGTAATAATATTTCGTCCTCAGACCTTTGGTTTGCCGGTTTCAGTCTGACCGCTCTTCAAAAAACCTGCACGGCATGGTAGAACCTTGAGGAATAATTGTTCCAGCCAGTATAGATCTGTCGGTCCACCACGTAGGCAAGCCTGCTACCATGTCAAGGTAGCAGTAACGGTCAGGTCTAAATCCCATATGTCTATTCATAGTTAGTAGATGAAATTTTGGGAATTTCTGTATCGTACTTTAAATGTGGTACTACTTACATACTTGTAGGCGTAACGTGTATACTTGTGGAATGTTGCCTGATGAATGTCGAATTGGGAAGTAGAAGCATGCAATTGGTGTGCAAAACGGACATACAAACGGTTTATTGGACAGTTCCTCCCTATTAAATCTTTATTCAATGGAGACAACAAAACTCACTGAATCAGTCTTGTGATAGTTGTCGGGAATGGGGCTTTTTTGTGTTCTATAAGATGATTGGGCTTTAAAATATAAGGGCATGGTTTTTCTATCATTACTCTACAGTGGTAAAACAATTTAGAATGGAAGTGTGTGAAAGGTCTCTAAATAAGCTTGTGATTTCAGGTTGGAAAGGTTTGAATCGATTCGATACTAAAACACAGAATACAGGAGCTCAGGATAATACGTTATAGTATAGTTCGAACACACGAGAGTTAAATAGAAAAATCCAATTCTGGTTTTGTCGCTATCATTGAAAAAATCCACCACATGCTATTTTCTGCCATATTTTCATGTCATCGGCAATACGTTTTACTGGGGCTTAGGGACAGTGAAATGTCACAGAGTCATCCGGCAGTTGGGTTACTGAATGTAAAACGGTTTGACGATCCTCTTCATGGTCCGGGAAAAAATGAGAATAAACTAATCGCACGACATGAACTTGCCCATGCAGTGGGGGCCGCACTCCTTTTCTTGTACATATTCTTGCTGATACATTTCTGTAATAACGTGGTGTTATGCGGTCCTTAATGTAGCCATAGTACATGAGTAAGACGAGAGGAAAGTCCACGTTAGATATAAACTGCGAGGTGTGACTTTGACCTTAGCTAGTTGTTCACATCATGTCCGTCTAACTTGAGTTGGCCCCCAGTTATTTGACACAGATCAGTGATCTACACAGGTGAACTCGAAGTTGAACATGGAAAATAACCTATCAGGAAAGCAGACGTAGGACACTTTATTATTAGTTATGCCAAATATCACTAATTGTGAACAACTGTCATATCCTTTGGATTATAGATAGCGTTTTTGGGGAACGGTTAGTCTTGGTACCCTGATGTATCATATTCGAAAATTGCAAACATACTGCGGACGTTAAATATGAGGCTAAATAGCATTAATTGACTCAGAGTTCGATAAAGACCTTAAAAACTGCAGACAATGGGGTTAAAAATCTGGCAAAAACTATTTTTCTCTAAACTGTTGGTTGTCAGTCTTATTTTGTTTTCGTGCTATAAGTTCGAAGGTCAAGGCTTCTTCGGGACCGCCATATGTACATTTGCCTCCGCCATGTTTGTCCTTTAGGGTTGTTAACTAGTATTCGTCATAATGAAGACAAATTTCGGAAATCAGTATGTTTATTCGCGCATTAAATTATTATATTTTTTCAAAATCATATGTTTAAATGCCTGACTATGAATAGCCGTAATAATCACAAGTGTTTTTTAGATGATGACTTAGGGATTAGGTTAATGTATTTGTCTACTTGTTTCTGGTTTTGCTGAACTTCAGCATTGATAGCTTTTAATCTCATTCATCAGTATTAGGCACACTATTTAGTGGGTCTCAACCGAAGTCTCATATCCCATTATAAGATCCGTAAGTTCCCAATACCAGAAACTGACTGTAAAGTAAATATGGAGATCGTAGCAGTTATTTGAGCCGAAATTAGTCTTAAGATTAGCCCAATCTTTAACAGGCAACATATCTAATATTCACCTACTATCAGGTAAGTAAGGTTGTGAAGTCGAAAACACGACAAAAGGGTTTAGTAACTTGGTGGTTAAGGACGTTGTACATTTCAAGATCTCAGGCAGTCAATCTCATTATTATCCGGGCTTTACTTAAGTCAATCACCCAGTACGACGTGTGTTTAGCTTCATTCGTTCAACTGCTGATGTATGTTTTTAAGTTTACATCCGATATGTTTCACATGCACATTGTATATGTAAGTTGTTTGGATTTTTATAAGATATTTGGAACGCCAATGTAAAAATCTTCGGCAAATGTCCGCAGACTAGCTACTCCCCACCACGTCATAAAGGAGGCAGTGTCAGGCATGATTTACAAATAACCAACCATAGATACCACACTACAACAGCAGATAAGAGACTACCAAAATAAAGATTAAGTTAGGGTTAAACAATTGAAAGGTTAGGAACCAGCCAGAACAAGTCAGAGAGTAGAAACCGCGCAATAGTACTGTATTTAAAAAGATTATATTTGATTGTGCCATTGCGACCAGTTCTAATCTATATCATTTAAAGTCCCTAAATACAGATTGGTAATCGTGTGGACTTATGTCAGTAAATGTACACTTCTCAACATGACTATCTAACAGTCACCGATGTCGTGTCTTCGTTTGGTCGCGTTCAACTTTCTCACTAACTGTCCTTAGTAGTCACTGTGGATGGAGACAGTGACGCGGCATTGTGGAACATGTCCTAACCACATTGAGTCGACGAAGGTCTGTAGATTCGTCAGTTAACTTTCCGATTATGCTACTTATTATACTATCACTTGGAGGTTGCCAGCAGCAATGTTTCGAAAACACATATGATTATTTTCACTAGTTGTGAATGAGTATCTACTTCGTTACATTGCAATTGGTATCCGAGATGTAACGTTTAGTATGAACGGCTAGTGAAGGGCGAATTGCTGAAGTTCTCGCCTTCGGTCGAGACTCAGTCACTTTTCTCAAATAGATCTACCTATCAATTCACTACAGGTTTGGGAATAATCATTAAAAAAGTATTTATCATATTCAATCCTAAATCTTGAGTGTTTTATGTAAGATTTAGTCGTGTTAGTACTTGTTTGATGGCCTTCATGTATATAGATCATGAAAATGTTAACAGATCACTTAGTCCTTTGGTTTCGATGTAGTTAAAGGATAAATCTAAGTTATCTGACCCAGTAGTTCATAGTTTCTTAGGGGGGATTTATCTTGCACACTGTCCAAACCATGCTCTTCCTACTTCTACTTGACCGACGTGCAATGTTTTATGGCGTAGGAGTAGGTTGGAAGAAAGCTGGGAGCGGCTAGACCAAAACGTGGTACAAACCCATGAAGTCACTAACAAGTGGACTGAGCCATGTTGGTAGGTGTAGACTACCTGGTTGGGATTCGCGAGATGATAGCAACCGATGGTTTGAGACGTTGAATGACATGGCTCAAAATCGTTTGCAATGGCGAAGGTGCATCCACTCTTTGTGTTCTACCAAATTCTAATCTTGTGAATTATTTGTTTCCTTTTCTTTTTTCTCTTTCCAAATTTATTTCACTGTATTATACTCCTTGAATAACATTCTCAAACCCCAATCTTTCGGATTACTGCTAATACTCTTACTACTTCTACCACTATGGGATTTGAATCGACAACTGCATCTCTGTTTTAATGTGGTATAGGAGCTCGAACTGGTATATGTATGTACGAAGTTCTACGTTGTGATTGACTTCTACTTAGACAGCCGATTATCACTAGCTCGTCACTGACTTTAAGCCTAGTATCTATCTTGTAAAAATGAGTTATACTAATGAGAACATGTTTAGTGTCAGTAGTGTAACACTTGTGACCCTTTGGGTCCGCGTCAACTGTTTCCACAGAAAAAAGTCATCCAGTTTTGACTACAAGCCTGTTTGTTTTTATGATAAAGAGCAGGTACATAGTTTGTCTTGTCAGTTAATTATCAGAAACAAAACGAAGAATTGCTTTTTCCATTACTCACTACGAACTTCTATGAAGTTACCTCTCACTCCTTTTGAAGATTCAAGATTTCGTAAGACAGCACTTTTTGTGTTAGAAGTGGTTTAAACTTTGTGAACTACAAAATACCATGTCGCATAACTGTTCATAGTTAGGATGCTTATGATAAATGCTATGCTTGAGTACCAGCGAACGAAAATTATACGAAACATTTGAGCTTAGGTGAGTGCACTATGGGTTTGTATACTAAAATTCAGGTTTTGGATAGATCACCCAAACACCTTGTCGCTAAGCATGTGTGGATTACAGAAGACCGGTCTTGGTAACCAAGTGTTCCAATGATTTAGGTGTTTCAATTACACTATTAAGTTGACTCATCCTATTTCCGTTACGTCCATCTATTTTACCATCGTTTGACTTTTGGATTATATTTTAACATTTTAGCTAAGACTGGTTTCTTTGTGGTACGCGTTATTTAAATTCTTATTTCCAACTTACAAATGTGGCTAATGTGATTTTCATTCAAACTTCGACGCGCTAAACGTTAACGTTACATTAAACAGCAATAATTCATTTCTTCGAATATTAAAAGAAATTTTCACGGTAAGTGTTTTTCACAAATGTTGGCTCACATTCTTTCTGTGTTGAGGGTACCTCAAAGTAAATTATTATTTCGTCAATATATGGACTAACAGGTTTATGTGCTGTGCTATCAGCACACAAAAATACTATTCAACGCCGAATTTGTTAATCTAATCCCATTCACTGAGGTTGCAGTGTTTTTACAGTGGTCATTACAGGCCTCACATGATAAGTTGGAGATCAGATCAAATTGACTTCTGATAATATATTACGTAGCTGCTGTCCTATTATAGATATTTAGGTGAATGTGATGTTAGTGTTACTTTAATGGGTAGTCAACAACGATATCTGGTTAGATATTAATGTTCCATTCACCATACTTTCCGATAAGCGTCAAGGTCAAACAATACTCCCGACCATCTTTTCTTCGCTGGGCTGTACCAAGTGTTGGTATGGTGATACTAATGAGCTCACTTCCATCCCATTCCCACTCAGCAATTTAATCTTCATAAAAATGGTATTTTATTTTAATCTAAAGTTAAGTAATGTACATAAATCGTTCATATTCATAGTTCAGTGTTACCGTCGGTTTATCGTGGCTTTTTTGTCACTACTGAATTAAGTCAAATTCTTTGCAGTACAGAAAAATTAATTTCCTCACAATTTATTGGGTCAAAAAAGTAAAAATTTTTAAAAATGTAAATCTTTGCACAGATATGCAACCACACTGGCCTATCATTGCAGCGATGTCAGGTCATCCGACTATTGCTAATGGCTCAGCAATATCCATTGACCGTCATATTTCTGGTCCGATGGATTCTAGCAGTATGCTTATTGGTGCACTTACGCCTGGTTATGTACGACCGACTCTCTCTTCCAATGTTTTACCTGGCTCATCAATCCCTTCAGCACCTGGTGGATTCAGTCCTCATCACAGTTTGGCTTACCCTTTCCCTCATTCATTCTCTGTTGCTACCAACCAGTCGCTTGAACCTGCTATTACTGGGCGTCAATTTCCCAATGCTTCCTTAAATCCTTCTTACCACCTACAACAGTTCCAACAATCGGCTTCCCAGCCCTTACCCTTGCCTCATCCACCTGTTCCATATGGTCAGTCGTTGTCTTACTTAGCACCTTCCCTAGTAACAGCTATGGGTAATGGCAACCTTGGTCACATACATCAAACTTATACAAATGTACCATCACAGACACCGATGGCAGTTAATATGACGGCACACTGCCGTACATTTGATTCTTTAAAGCACTTTGGTTCTGTTCCTCAAACACAGGTGAGTTTCTTATTTTTGGGCCATGATTAATGACTTTCCTCTCCTAGTTACATTGTTCTATAAAAAGCCCACCGAAAATGATTTCTTCGGGGAAATGCAATTTTATCTTTGATGACTTAAACCTGTACACTTTTGTGTACATTGTTTTAAATTAAAATATTCACTCATCTGATGCAAAATTCCAAAGATTATGTTTCATTTCCCATATCTAGTGATTTGTACTGTGACTCATCTCAATGTTTCACATCAATTTTACGAGTTTGCAAGTTATCTCAACTTGTTAAGCAAATTTGTGTTAGATGTTTATTACATAAATGTAAAAACAGGCTAACTGTATGTGTCTAAGATTATGTCGGTGTGTGTGTTTAACATGTTTAACTTAATTGGCTTCTGAAATATCTCGCTTTGTAATATTTCATTCCGACTCAATGATCGTGATGTGTCCTGATAAGATAGCGATGATGATAAACCCATGTTTTCGCTAACGAATGCCTGAGAAGGATAAATATGCAGAAAAGATCGCTGATAAAAAACATCGACGGGTGAATAGAAGACCTCATGTTGACCATCGGGTAAATAAATGAGAAACTCGCGTTTAAAGATAGTTAACAGTACTCATCAATATACCATTCAAAATTTGTGGAAATCTTCCATGAATTGATTATTTATCACTAAATTTAAAGTAACCTCACATAGTTTAAAGTTTACAATTAACAGCCAGTTAGTAGCAATAATTTGTCACATAATTTAAAGAATGCCTGTCGAGTCTAGTTTAGAACACAATTACTGATCAAAGTTTGTATCAGGACTTGTTGAACCGGTGTCTTAGTAGTTGGATCAATTGATATTCAACGATTAAGTCACACTTCCTAGCCCCACTTACGTTTGTGTGGAAAACAGAGTCGCACAACTAACACTCATACAAAGTGTATGACTTAAAACCAAGTACATAAATATGTACCTGTCAAGTCGTGTTAACTAGTCATTAAGGGGATACACTGATAGATAATTTACCTGAGATTTAGATCATGAAAAGATAATTTTTAGCCTGTCTACCCTACTGAAATTACCCAATTCGGCTATATTTCATCTCAATTTATTCAATTCGTGATGCTGTAATGAAGCTATGGAAAAAGTTGGAGTTTATTTCGTAGACCTGTGTTCTAAATCACATTCAACTTTCTTTCAACTTATTAGCTCAAGGTATATTTTAAAATTTGGGTCCTGTATTAGTATAAATCATTGTTAAATGAATTGTATTGAAAATTCATTTATAATTTTTTGGGTTCTCCTATAGCATGGTCGTCGGAATAAATCAACTGTCACTTCCAAGACCAATCTATATATAAGTGGATTAAGCGAATCTGATACAGATGATACAGTTCGTTCACTTGTTGAAAACATTGTTCAGCCAAAATCTTGCAAAGCAATGGTTGTCAACGGAAGATGCAGAGGTTAGTAGTTTTAACTAAAATGTCATATATTGATAGTTTGTGAAATTTTAGTGTAGCAGTCATCATAGATGTTGCTACAGGTATTTTTTAGTATTTCGATTTTTTCTTACTTCAGAGCATGTCGGGTTTTATTCATGTGAATTGTGGACACTCAGAACAGTTTTCTGCAGTGTATTGGGGAGACAAGGTGTTGGTGAAAATCGTAGTGGTTCTGAAATTCCTCTATATTCGATTAGTTAACGTTAGAATCCTAGGAATATAACTTTCTATGAATCACTTTATTCCTAATCACTGGAGTTAATGTGATACTGATTAATAAGAATAACTAAACCACGACAAAGCATTGTTCACGATTCATGAATAATAACAATTTACTTAAATAGGCTTATGTGATTTCACATGTTTATACATATATTGGATTAGTGGTTTCCTCTGTAATGTCAGACATTCACAAGTATTTGAGTAAAGTTAGATAATCAGATATCCTTCATGAGTCGTGATGTAGCGCATATGTATTTGATATTCCTTTGTGCCAATATTTATGTATTCAAATAAATAAATCATGAGTTGTAGTACTTACTGTCAAGTATGGTTTTAGACCATGTCACCGAGCATCTGAATGTGAATTAATGGTAATCAGTCTGGTTATGTGTCAATGTTAGTTTTATTTTAGTTTTTCATCGTTCTGATATATCATCTTTAGTATAATTATGCATTATTTCCATTTACCGTAGAACCGCTTTTTGTGATGATCAGTTAATCGGTCATACGTACCGTAGAACTTGGCACATATATCACTCGGTTTAAGTTGTTACACATAAGCACAGTAAGATGCTAGAGTAGTAGAAATGATAGCCTAATATTAATGGCAGTAGGGAAGATTAAACATAGAAAATGTGATCCGTGAAGCAAATGTGAATTCGTCGGATAAAAAACGTTTAGAAACTGAAGAACAAAGTGAAGACAGAGTGAATGCATCTTCACTGTGAAAATCCCGATTTATGTTACCCAGCGTCTCTAACCATTGGTTACGATAATCTATCTGTCCTCATCCAAGTAGTCTGGATCTACCTACATGGCTCAGTCCAAAAATCAGGGACTTCAGAGAATAGTGCTATATCCTGATTTAGTAACTACTAACTTCCAATCCTCTACGTCATCCTCGAATTAAATGGTGGTGGGACATAATTTATTTGTTATAATGGAATAATAACATTCTCTTCTCGAACTTTTTAGGTTCAGGTTTTATTGATTGCGCTTCTGAAGAGGATGCAGAAAAAGCGAAAGCACATATTTTAGAATGTGCCAGAACTAATGGACGCAAATTATCAGTGAAATATGCATATGAAAATGAAAAAGATGCTCTTAATGTTTATGTACGCAATCTTCCACGTGAAGGTTTTTCAAAAGAGATGTTGGAAAGTTTGTTTCAAAAATTTGGTCATGTTACATCAGTTAAACTTCTTGAAACAGTTACTGGATTTACAGGTAGGTAGCACTTTTTTGTCAACTTTTAACCGAGTTTGTGCAAGTATAATGTATCATGCGCACATAACTTTATGGTTATTGTTTGGCAATACTAATTAAGTACTATCTTTACTGTCTTGTTACGTTAATCATTTCCTTAATGATTATAAACTGTAATTTATCATATTATACCAGACTTAAGTAATATTGTGGTGTGTGCTACTTATGTTGACAGACATAAGTCTTCTCAATTTGAGTGTTCATTCACTACGTTTGGTGTCACTCCAAAAGGAGAAATGGAGATGTTCAAGTTCTGCGGACGGCGTTGCGGAGTCGGTAGAGGAGGCACTAGTTGGGGCGGTCTGGTGCAAGAAGGTGACTCTGAGTTGGTTTTTCTGGAGAGGCGGCGTTGGCTGTGGCGGTCACTGTCGACATAGAGGAGTGGAATGTTCGGTCGCTGGATGGACATCGGATTTAGATGGCCACGGCAGGTCAAAGTTGCTACTGAGGTCAGCGCGCCGGCGGACTCGAAATTTTGGCGGGAAGCGTGGCTTAGACTGGAAAAGAAGGAAATAGCACGGCGAGCAGAACAACCACACGAGCGACTGTTTAAACGGGGAACGGGTGTGATGTATGCTACTTATGTCTGCCGACATAAATAGTGTGTAACACCAGTCAGAAGTGGAATGCCTACGAGCAGAAGGTAGAGAGGATTGAAATGCAGAGAAGAGAAAAGGAAACTTATAACAATCAATGTAACAACAAGAATACAGAAATAATGAAGCTTGTCAGAGACAAATCAAAGATGTGAAAATTAGGTATTTAATGAATGATTTCCACATTCTGCTAAACTACTGTGTAATTGTGCTTTTAGCAATAAAATTAGTCTTCCCCACCTAAGCATTCTTTCACTATAATATTACATTGTGATTGCCTTCATTCTGCTTTAAACATATTATTTGTTTTGTTGAGATTTACTTGAAAGTTTTTTATTTAAATCTAACTAGATAAAAATAAGATTATCATCACTACAACAAGCACCGACAAATTTATCTGTTGAAGGTTCTTGTGATTCACAGTAAGATGAAGAAATACTATTCTGTTTAGTATGTGAAGCGGTCTACGAATGGTAAAAATACTCGACTTTTTGTCTACCAAGTTGTAGGTTTGAACCCCGACTCACTTAGTTCGATGTGAACAGTTGTGGTATCTCACTGGTCCTCACACACAAAACTATGCATCAAAGCTTAGTAAACGAATATGTTCATGTTTAATTACCTAATCACATTAATATGCAGGACTATTTTAAAAAAAAAACTCAATCTATCTGGGAAAACGAATTTAATCGCATATTTTTTCAGCATTTCAATTATGAAGCAGTTTCGTCATTTTTAAGAAAAGTTCTAGTTGAGATACTATAGTATTTTAGTATTACTGGTGATCCATATGAATGTATTGACTTTTCATAGTACTACTAATCATCTATGCTAGTATTGCATGTTCATGTTTCATTTTGTTAAGTTTTGAACTTGTCTCTTTCCAAGACAAAACGGCCGTCCAGTGCTTCCAGATTTTCCATGGTGGTCTAGCTTCAATTGACTCATGATTTCAACTATGATAATTATCAATTGTTCAAATTTTAAAGCTTCACTTTTACATCACCATTCAGACATCGTTTATACTTCATATTTTGAATTATTAAGTTTTACTTGTGTTTAAAATTCATACAGTAATTTAGCCAGTTTATAAAAAAAATAATGGTACATTTTACTTACATCTACTCGTGTTAAGGTGCTGACTGGTAGTTTCCTACCAATGTATTTTCTTTCTACTTTTTTTGTTAACAGGCATGCATAATGAATCTTGTATGCAATTTATTAACGTACTAATTATTATATCATATAAATCTAATGTATTGATCTATATGCACTGTTTTTTATCAACGAGTAATTGCTTAAAGATGTATCTACATCTGTTTAATTTAAGCTCATTTAACTCAAAAGTTGACTAGTTTTTTTTCAATAAATGTCCAAGCATTCACTTTTTTCGATTTCTTCAGGAATCGGTTTTGTTCGTTTTGCCACAGCTGAACAAGCGGAAAAAGCAGTTGAACAAATGAATGAAGCAAAACATATTGTTCGAGGTGGAGATAAACCCATAACTTGTAAACTGGCTGATAAAGCAGATCCTAGACGACGTAATGCTGCTCCTAATGCACAAGCGTTTGTTGCCGCTGCTGGATTACATCCACAAATACCTGTTGCTAATAATTTAACGCGTACAGCTCAAGGTCTCTCTAATCTTGCTTCTCTTCAAGCTTTAGGTCAGGCTCAACAATCTACCTTTACTCCTCAATTTCCTCTAACTGCACAGTTAGTGCAACCTTTGCATCAGACTCCTGTTGTTGTTCCAAATATGCAATCGTCTTCAATATCCTCACAAAACCGTAATATTTTATTACCATCAAGTGAGTTCCACCTGTTGCGTAACAATCTACTTTAGTTATTTTATTGTCACATCAACCTTAAAGTGGAACTCATTCCATTTTTTTATTCTCGAACATAATCCCTGTTTCCTTTTTTCTCAAATATTTTGTGTTAATTTAAATTTTCCATTGCAGCATTATTGCAGAATGGTCCATGTTGTGGTAGTACAGCTGTCCCAGTTTCATTCCCTTCCATTGGAACGAATGGGGGTAATGGTCAGTCGACTATTTCTACTAGTTCTTATAGAGCTAACTTAGTCGGGATACCTCAAGGTCAAATGCCATCTGGGGCTCAACCAAATCAAGGAACGGCAATTGTTGCTGGATATGCTGATTATCCCTTCAGTCGTTCCAAATCATGTGTCAATGTTCAATCCGGAAACTTCTCAGCTAACAATCTCCCTGTTTATACGGCAAATGGTAACTCCTCTCAATCCACTCATAGTGCTTTTCAATCAGTTGCATTTGGAACTCCTACAACTTCTAATTATCAGGGAGGATTATCGTATGTTCATCATCAACAACAGTCACAACCGACACCTGTAAATATTATTTCTTATAATCTTGTGTTTAACCTACCTTGTTTATGTTGTTTTCTGATACTCCAGATACTGGTGTAGCTCTAGTGAACTTCTGAAGAAGAATATTACAGCTGTAATATTACAGTTTAGTATTTCACGTTAATGAGGATTTACAAGTTCGGTTACATCCTAGCAGTGTTCTGGCAAAACATTATTGAATACTATAACCGAAGTTATAAAGATATCACGAAATTATATTTATTATTGAATACTGTCTACATGTGGGAAAAACTGGAATAGTAATTCCTCTTTGTAATATAACACATAACAATCTATTCATTGCGTTTGGCCTTACGCACTTATGTGGATCCTTTACAAGTTAATGACCAGTCACGCTTTCAAATCATCTAACGGGTTCTGCCAGATTCATTAAACCTAACGACTATGAATCTATCTTGTTTCTTTTTTAGTGTTATTCAAGCTGTTATTAATCAAAACGTATACCAAGTTTTCAGCATCTTGGTTACAATATTTAATTCGTTGTTATTGTTTTATCGATTCAGATCATACACTGTTTTGGTTGGTCGAGTGTCGTCTCATGTCACATTTATTTCATCGAAGACTTGGAAGCACTGGATGACCAATTCATCCTAATATAGGACTCCTCATCCCTATACTTACATATTGCTATGTTTCATGAGACATTATTATTACTACCTCTACTACTAACACTTGCGGTTGTAGGAATTATCATTACTCCTGGTTATGAGATAAATTGTGTGTAGTAGCTCTATCCACACAATTTTCCCTATCACCTCAATTATCATCTAGTCTTTTACGGGAGTACATTGCCAACATAATCTTTTATTCGGTTTATAGTTGTTGTAGTAGTTTTCTTAACTTTGATTTTGAGTCTTTATTTGAATACTTTTTTAGAGTGTTCCTGGAGCTGCAGTTGCAAGCAATTCTCAAATGGTTATTTTGGCTCAGACCCCTATTAATTGTCTTTATCAATCATCAAATGGATCCACATCAGCCGCTTATCCATCAGGTATTTCATCAACTAATGGTCATCAGAAGCAACCACTTCTTTCCTCTAATAACACTCCCATTGCTTGTCAGGTGCAAAATATACCATGTAATTCGTGTCCAGTTTCAGAAACAACTACAAATCCAAATTCTGTTGGTTTAATTACCTCTGAATTTCAAATGATGACTTTTGGTTCAAATAGTATGACTAACGCTTCATCATCTCATTCAAATTTGGTGACAGATATTTCTTCTGGCGAAACACAAGAATGGTCTAATGTTGGTAACCAAAAACTATGTTCTTTGAATTCTGTCAACACTTCAGAGAGTGACTTAGCTTATCAAACATCATCTGTCCTTCAAAGTTCACACGAGTTAACAACTTCAAGCGATGGGAATGCTGTTTATACTACTACTACTACTACTGCTACTCAAAATACTATTACTGTGTCTAACACAGCAGAACAAAATGATACTCAATGTTGCTCAAATCCTGTGCAAGAAAAAATTAGTTCTTCAGATCTTACTAACTTATCGGGTTTGTCCAATGAAGAATTTAATGTAATCACTTCACCTAATCCTTCTAATCATTCTTCCGTTTCAAATTCTACTTATTTAACGGGGAACCATCATTTCTCTTCGTCTAATCTAGAAGTTAATGGTTCATCGAATTCTGCTGACTGTCAGTCAAGTGCTTCATCATCACAAAGAAAAAATAAAATAACGGACAAACATCGAGATTCATCATCGTCAAATTCAACCGTTTGTAGTCGTCATTGTAATGAGGTGGTCAGTTTAAATGATACCAAATCAGCATCATCATCTATACAACAGTTGAATAGACGAAAGAAAAATCCTTATTCATCTAGTATTAGTAGTCATAAACATCATTCAAGATCTCCGTCGAAGAAAAAGAGTTCACCTGTTAGCAGTAGTACCGAAGTTCGTATGCCAACTAGTTGCACGATTTTAAACCCATCGTCTCCTTAAGTAGAGACATAACTTACGTCTATTATTGTTTTTTTTTTAAATCAAAAAACCCCTACACACAGTTGTTGATCAACTAAAATGGATTTACAATTTACATGCGTGGCCAATTCTCGCATTCAAAACTAAGTTTTCGTTTTAGGTACCAAACAAAAAATAATAAATGAAAGTGTACATATATCACCCTTTTTTAAACCACTCTGTAAATGATTTTACAATCAATGTTGTGTTTTGTGATTTCTTGCTCCCTTCCCCACCTGTATGTCGTTTTATTCTTTCCTACTTCTCTTTTCTGCTTAGGACACTTCATCACTTTTCTTTTAGGGTCAACAGATTATTGTATGTATGTTTGTATTATGTATGGGATGTGCAGAAAAAAGAAAATCCGTTGGAAAAGTGATGCTCAACTAGGAATCAGCCCGACAATTTGACCAAATAATCGATTTAGAAAACTGAGGGTTACTTGTGTATCTTGCTTAGTTTATGAAGAAAAAACAACTTCGCACACATTTTCTTTGTACTTTCGGTCGAAATATTGGCTTTCTTGATTTTGTGTGGAGTGCTGCAAAACAATGTCCAAGGTAAAAGTTGAAGGAGTTATGTGACAATATTATATTTTTTTTTTACAAAAATGTTCGCTGCTGACCTTATTTACTTACTTCTGTTTTCTTGTTACTAGAAAATTCCAGTGAGTTTTTGTTCTAAATAGGGTCGTTCAACAAAAGTGTATCTCATCGACATTCGAAATTCCTATTCAAAGTTTAGGCTTACAAATCGTGTCTAACATGTGTGTTCAGGTCCACTAATGATACGTAGATTAGAATTACCATAATACTAGTCCACCAAATACATTCATTTGAAAATATTCGTATCCTAGGGCTAATTGTAAACAAACAGGTTCAGTAAACTAACAATATGTAGAATATTTGTATCGATCATAGTGTTCTGTCGTTTTTGTTGATCTGGCAACCACGGATTTCACTTCAGTAGTGGACCAGAGGCCCCCAAATGCCCTGGTACGGCCGAGAGTGGGGAGAGTCCGCTCTCTCTTAAAATGCTCTCACATAGCCTCTGTCAGGGAAGTCCTACTCACTGCCTTCTCACACCAGGGGTGTTGTTTACGAAATTGAGAGGACAAAAAGCGAATATCCGGCGCTTTAACCTGGTTGGTGAACACGAAAAGTCCACCTAGGGAGTTGGAAACCCCTGATTCCAATCCAGTAGTGTACATGGGCTCCAATATCCTGAGGGAACAAATGACGTATGAATCAATCGTTGGTTACCGGCTACCATGGGACTGCATCTCCTTACGATGCTCCATTACCTTGTGGATCACATCTTAAGGGAGAAGGCTCCAGATGTGGCCCCCTAAGAAAACCACTTGCTTCAGTTTGAGCACTCGGGCAGTATCGTCGCCCTCACATAAATCAAATGAGATTTGTGTGGGTCATATGTATCTGGTGCTCCTTTGTACCAATATTTATGTGTTCAAATGAAATAAGTGGATCTGAATAGGCTAAATGTTAATCACTTTTGAAGTGTATTAATAGGAGTCTAAGGCACCTTCCTACTAAGCGGGACTTTTTAGAGCTTGATGGATGCTGTAAGTTTTTGAACCGTTTCATAAGAAAGTGGGCGTTCACCCTGAGAATGGCTGATATGGTCTTCATGCTACCGTAGGAACTAGTGAGGCGTGGTAGCAATAAAGCAGGAATTTGAGAAGGGCTGCCAATAAGTATTTGTGAGCAGTAAGAATCAAAAGCATAGTTCGGACACGGTCTTAGCCAAGTTGCGATACTTTGACAACCCTGGATGATGATTAAGAAAGGCGGATAAATGAAAGTATCAGTTATATTAAAAAAGACTACCTAGAAATTAAATATGAGGTACTAGACAGGTGTAAACGAGTATCTGAGACAGAACTCTTCCCATTAGACCACTTGTTCCAATTATTGCCAAATCTGAACTAGGTAGTCTACTGAGTTCGTTAGCTAGCGCAGTATTTATATTTAGGGACCTGTAGCTGTTTCCTAACTCACATTTTCGCCTACCAGCTTTGGACTTTTAGGCTGGCAACGGCTCGGTATACGTCACGTTTATCCAAACCAACTCCGTGAATCGAGATTCTTAGTCTCAAGTCGATTCATCCAGTGGCCTACGTCTAACTTTGGCATTCTTCACCCAGTTGTTCCTCAAAGTAGGAGTGGTGTTTCGAAGATAGCTATCGGATGCTTGCTCCCTGTGTATATCACTACTTTCATAGGTTGAACAGACGCAAGAGATCCATTATCTATCAGTGTCTAAGGAAAGTGGGTTTCGGGGAAATATTTCGAACATGATATTCTGTTTCAGACATGTTCTGTCTAACACTGTCTTCTATTAGGAGGTTGCATGATAATCTATTGGCAACGAGTTTACCCCCTAAAAGCAGTGGCTTCTTTGTAATCACTACGTGTCCTGGTCGAAGTAATGAGTTAGTTTAGATGAATAGTTTGATGATGTGTAGGATCAGAAAGATTTGTGTTAGCAAATAACTTGGTGACTTTAGTAGCATAACATGAGAAATGATTAAGCACGTCATGAAAGCTAGCACAGTTGGTTAATCTCTAAAATAGTAAGGGAAAAGAAAGACATATTTCACTCGCTCTACGTTATTTCTAGGTGTTGTGTTGACTGAAATAGTAGTAAAATGGGAGAGATCAGGCTATCTGGTTATCTATAACTCGGTGTTTTCTTTCTATGATGTTTTAGTTAGTTCATGGGGTCCTTACTTAAGCCTCATGGGACATGGGCCACCGACCAAGAAACTCAAACCAACTCTGTTCTCAGCTCTCTTTCCCAGTTATCGTCAATACTATTAATATTTTAGATCTCTACAATTCCTGTCGTCGTGTATTTTTTGGCTTATCTCTTTTCTTTTTGCTTTATGGAATCCAGGTTAGGGCTTACTTTGTGATGAAATTTGGTGATTTGCACAGTGTGTCACATCCTAGTTTCCAATAATTCAGTTGTTTGATTGTAGTCAGTGAAGAACTTTGTACGATGGCTGACATCACTTACCACATTCTGTCCTCTTTTAATCATGAAATAACACCATAAGTACAAGTTTTATTCTAATATAAGGATAACATTGAATACCAACAATCTATATTACAAAAGTAATTTAGATATGTAAACGTAATGCTGAATGGAACGATAGTGGCCGCAATGCTAGTTTTGCCCATATCACATCTTAAATAATCCAATGTTTGTAAATAGTGAGACGAGTTTCGAAAACACATGATTATTTTCACTAGTTGTGAATGAGTATCTACTTCGTTACATTGCAATTGGTATCCGAGATGTAACGTTTAGTATGAACGGCTAGTGAAGGGCGAATTGCTGAAGTTCTCGCCTTCGGTCGAGACTCAGTCACTTTTCTCAAATAGATCTACCTATCAATTCACTACAGGTTTGGGAATAATCATTAAAAAAGTATTTATCATATTCAATCCTAAATCTTGAGTGTTTTATGTAAGATTTAGTCGTGTTAGTACTTGTTTGATGGCCTTCATGTATATAGATCATGAAAATGTTAACAGATCACTTAGTCCTTTGGTTTCGATGTAGTTAAAGGATAAATCTAAGTTATCTGACCCAGTAGTTCATAGTTTCTTAGGGGGGATTTATCTTGCACACTGTCCAAACCATGCTCTTCCTACTTCTACTTGACCGACGTGCAATGTTTTATGGCGTAGGAGTAGGTTGGAAGAAAGCTGGGAGCGGCTAGACCAAAACGTGGTACAAACCCATGAAGTCACTAACAAGTGGACTGAGCCATGTTGGTAGGTGTAGACTACCTGGTTGGGATTCGCGAGATGATAGCAACCGATGGTTTGAGACGTTGAATGACATGGCTCAAAATCGTTTGCAATGGCGAAGGTGCATCCACTCTTTGTGTTCTACCAAATTCTAATCTTGTGAATTATTTGTTTCCTTTTCTTTTTTCTCTTTCCAAATTTATTTCACTGTATTATACTCCTTGAATAACATTCTCAAACCCCAATCTTTCGGATTACTGCTAATACTCTTACTACTTCTACCACTATGGGATTTGAATCGACAACTGCATCTCTGTTTTAATGTGGTATAGGAGCTCGAACTGGTATATGTATGTACGAAGTTCTACGTTGTGACTGACTGACTGACTGAAATTAGTCAACAAAGTGTATTCACTCACCAGGTTCATATGAATTGTTACAACACTGAACAACTAAATCTAAATTTCTTCCAATTCGAACGCATCATTTTGGTTAAACAAACATTCACTCATTTTGTTGTTGACCATATGAATCATAGTAATAACGACTTTTCAAAAACATTGTCTTGATAAGTTTATTGAAATGACGTTAAAAAACTTCATATCAACATTGGTTGCTTTCAACAAGCTTATCGTTTTTATAAGCTGAGATGGATGGTGGCTAGCAGTGGAATCCAGGACGCTTATAATGCTTGTGAAGTAAGGCAATACGCACATATGCCAATAAGAGACTGATCAGTTGTAGTCCTAAGCATCAATGGGATGATTCAAACAAACAGTACTGAGTGAATTATCGTTTTTAGTTTGTTGAAAAAGACTTATCAAAAATTGTACTTCATTTTTATTAAAGATTTAGTTATCTAACTGGGGAATTGAGAAATAAATCTGGTTTTATAGTCATCTTCAGCATTTCAATACTTGCATTGATTCTACAATTTTTTTCTCTGATAGAATGTGATAATTTTTAACATCCTCTATTTCTTGTATAATTAGTGGTTTTCTAGTATGAATGATTCCTTAAAGTATTCATTAGATAATAGTAACTTACATCATCTGTTTTATTTGAAGGTGTTTTGTAAATATTGGTTTAATTTGTAGGTTGTATTCGTCACATATTAATCTCAGTTGGAGTGTCACCGAAAGTTAACTAGCACTGGGCAACTGTTCGTCCCAGCATGAAAACACATAGTCCTAATAGACACCGATCTCATGAGCTGCAAGTCTCTATACGAACGGCCAACCATAAAATTCATTTATTCAGCGTCCTTTAATACAATTCCAACTAAACTGTCATCCAATCCGACTAGTAACAACGATTTAACTCCAGATGTGTTGAAACTTCACCTGTCATTACTTTTTTCTAGAACTTGAGAAGCTCATTTCCAAATTTTATTTTCTATACTTGGTGTTAAGTATCATAAATTATCTAAAAATTGTTTGATGTAAATATAAAATAAACTCATATCGAATGTTGTCATTATAGTCAAGATTAATGGATTTTGAATGATTTCATAGTACTGTCATAGTAATTTTAAGAGTTTTTAGTTAATTTGCGAGGAGTTTTATGAAGATTGTCTAATTTAATAATTCACTGTACGAACTAACTTCAGCTAGGTAACCAATGAAAACCAGGAAGTGCTGAAAAGCTGTTTAAAAGGAATTAGAAGTTGGTTGTGTAATATTGAACATCAACTGAAACTATAAACGCAAATCACTGGATATAAACTCAATGGTCTAAAAGTTAGATGATCCCAATAAGACATGAAGATGCTGAGTTCGATCCTTAGTAAGTTCTTGATTACTTACTTCTTTGATGTCCTATACTCAGACTAAACTTCTTTTCAGTGCTTCCTATTTATCATTGGTTATCTATCTAAGGTCATCCTGTAATATGAACTACATAATTTTTGGGTGTTTGTAATTATCTCTCATTAATATTGAAGGTTGAAATTGATCAGTTTCTATTGTCAATCCTCTTAAAAGTCATATATGTCAAAATAAGATGCAGTTGATCCGTTAGACCCGACCGTTGCTGCTACCTTGACGTGGTGGTCGGGCTTGCCTATCGTGATGAAGCAATCGAGCTATGCTGGCTGGAACAATCGTTCCTCGAGGTCCTATCATGCCAGACAGGTCGGTTGAAGAGCGGTGAGACCAAAAGCAGCAAACCCAAGGTCCGAAGGTGAAGTCGTACTGTTGACTGTACGGAGGTGTGACGGCAGTA